GGGGCACCCTCGGGGGCTACGGGGGTAGCCCCGGGCTCCCCGCGGGTGTCCCAGGAGTGCCCCCAATCGGGGGAGGAGGAGGTGGGGAGGAGGAGGAGGAGGAGGAGGAGGAGGAGGAGGAGGAGGAGGAGGAGGGGAGGAGGAGGGAGGAGGAGGAGGTAGGAGGAGAAGAGGAGGAAGGAGGAGGAGGATGGCGGAGGAGGAGGAGGGGAGGAGGGAGGAGGAGGAGGGGAGAAGGGGGCGGAGGAGAAGGAGGAGGAGGAGGAGGAGGAAGAGGAGGGCGAGGAGGAGCGAGGAGGGCGAGAGAGGGACAAGGGGCCAGGAACGAGGATGCGGAGGAGGGTGTTGAAGAGGGGGTTATGTGCAGGTGGAGCGTTCGAAAAACTGGCCTCGTTTCGAACGTGCATCACGGGCGCTGAATTCGTCAGCAATGACATGAACCGTGGCGCGTGTGGTCATCGCTGGGCGGTGGCAGCACACCCCCATTGTCGCCCTAGATGGTGAGTAGTCGACATCATGGGGGCGCTCGGTCGTGGTAATGAGCTGCTAGGTGATGAGAAATGGAACCTTTCTTGGAGAGGTCACCCCAGAAAAACCAAAGAACCTCAACCTTCCGCCTGCGCTCTGCTGCTCCTACAACTCCTCCTCCTCCTCCTCCTCCTCCTTCTTTTCCTCCTCCTCCTCCACCTCCTCCGCCTCGAGGGCCCCAACTGCTCTGGAAGAGAGAGCAACTGCATAAACATAGGATGCGGGAGGTCCCCGCGGATCTCGTCGATCGCCGCTGGACCCCCCGCCCTGGTGCGCGAAGCGCACCTGGGGCGGCGCCCGAGGACCCGCCAAGGGTGCTCAATACCCATCCAAGAAATGCGCGGGTCTGTGTCGCGCTATCTTCTTCGATCCTCCAACTCCTCCTCCTCCTCCTCCTCCTCCTCCTGCTCCTCCTGCTCCTCCTCCTCGTCTTCTTTCTCCTCTTCCGCCTTCTCCTCCTCCTCCTCCTCCTCGTCGTCGTCCTCCTCCTCGACCCTCCCCTGATATCCTCCGCGATAGTTTTTCAATCTGCTGCCCCAGAGCCCCCGACCAGAGGGGACCTGCCTCCTCCTCCTCCTCCTCCTCCTCCTCCTCCTCCTCCTCCTCCCTCTGCGAGGGGTCTGCAAGGGGGGGGAAGGGCCGAGGAGGCAGAGGGGGGAGGGTCGCAGACGAGGAGGGTCGAGGAGGAGGAGGAGGGAAGAGGAAGATCCAGCCCTCCCCTGGCCCTCCTCCCTCCTCCAGGGGCCCCTGCCCCGCGCCGGCGACCAACTCCCTGGACTCCAGGCACGCGCCCGCTGCGGCCGCGCCCGGCGACCCCGACGACCTCGCGGAGCCCGCGCGCGCCCAGAGCGCCAGGCCCGCGGCGCTCGTCGGGATGCCCCACAGCAGCGACGGACGGCACCGGGGCGGCCGGGGCCGCGGGCCGGGCGCACCACATGGCGCTCGAGGCCCCCCGGGCCTCCGGCGCGCAGGGGTCTCGCGGGCACCGCCTTCTTCGGCGCTCGGCGGTGAGCCGGCCTCGGGGAGGCGCTTGCCATGCAGGGGTGCCCGGAGCGCCCCGGCCGGCGGCGGGAGACCCGAGATGTCTTTCCCGCAGGCCCCCACCTCCTCCCGCTGCGGAGAGGTGCACGTCGGTCGGAGAAAGTAGGCAGAAACATGAAGCAGGAAGGCAGATATAGTAGATTGGGTCCAGGTCCTCCCAGAGAAGCACAAAAGGCAGCAAAAGCCTGCCGATGCTTGAAGTAGGAAGGCGCTTGAAGCAGATTGGGATCTGGGGAGCCAGAAACACCCACTTTCAACGACCGGCGTGCACTGGTGATGACGCGGGTTCCCGAGTCAGCGCTTGCACTCCAGGGGTCCCAGCGGAGGTTACGGCACACAAAAAGCGAAGCAAAGCCCCGCCGACTGCGGTGGGCGGCCGGCGGGCTTTGCCGGAAGGGGGCCGCCGTCGGTGGGCGGCGGGGGGCCCGTGTTTCCGGGTTCCTGGGTTCCTGGTCGATCTCCGTATCGACCGGTCTCACCATCGATCTCATTACCCACCTCTCTATCGATCTCACGATCGATCACACGATCGACCTCCCGATCGAACCATCGACCCCATTACCGACATCACAATGAGTCTCAATCTATATGTATATATACATCACGAATCTTCAATGAATCCACTCATTGGAGTGTTTCTCTGGCGTGGTGATGGTGATGCTGGTGGTGGTGATGATGATGATGATGAAGATGATAAGGATTATCAGGATGATGAGGGTGATAATGGCGATAGTGATGGTGATGGTGATGGTAATGATGGTGATTGATATGATAACGATGACAATGATGCTGCTCCTGTTGTTGATGATGCTGCTGATGGCGATGATGATGACGATGATGATGATGATGATCATGATTATGATGGTGATGATACTGATGGTGATAGTGGTGATGATGATGAGAATGATGATGATGATGATGATGATGATGATGATGATGATGATGATACTGATGATGATGATGATGATACTGATGATGATGATGATGATGATGATGATGATGGTGATGATGATGAGGATGGTGATGATGATGAGGATGGTGATGAAGATGACGGTGATGATGATGAGGCGGAAACCCAAACATCCGACACCTTGATTGCTTCAACACGGGGTCTCCGGACGTCCCGACCCATTGCTCATGGCCCGCTGTTCATCCCGCCGGACCGCCAACACAACTACTCGCGAGTTGCTGTTTGTGGACGGTCCTGGGGCCCGGCGAGGGCCCGCGGGGGCCGAACACTGGCAAAATCCTCCGCCGTGATACTTTCCACGACGCGGGCACGTCCTGGGAAGAGGAGCAGAAGGCACGGTCGGGAACTGTTCGATCGCCTGCCGCGGCGGCGGCCCCGGCGAGACGCCGTGCCCTGCGAGCAGGCAGCGTGCCGCTCCGATCCGCGGGGCGGGAGGCTGCGAGAAGCTCGGATTAGGCCGGGGCAGGTCCCCCTACAGGCGGGCCTTGGACGAAGAATAAAAAGTGGTCAAGGCATATTCCAAAAATGCCCAAACACAGTCAACAGATCGTCCCCGTACTATTTTTTGACTATGTTTGAGAATCTTCCTCCTTTGGAGGGACAGGCCCGACTCAACCCTACAGTCGAGGCGTTGACCTAAGGAGCCCTAAATAAGGAACGAGGCCCCTTTGTCCCATAAGTTCAACCTCGATTTCTCATGGAAAACCTCAGGAAAACCCGAGGCAAACTTTGAAACAATCAAGGAACACCGAGCCCCTCCCCAACGAAAAGGGTTCCTTCTTCAGCGCCCCGGCTGTAGGGGAGCGACACGCGAAGCGAAGACTCCCGACCAGCGCAGGTAAAGGACGGTGCTCGGTGCGCCTCCGGCGCCGGCCGCCCCGCGCTAGAGGACGCCCGCGCGGCCGCCCATGACGGGCCGGGCCGACAGCGCCACGGCCTCAATGGGCAGCACCAGCGCCGCAAGCAGGAAATACCTCTTCCTCATCTCCCTCCGCCGCCCCGATGTACGCCCCATGCTCCTCTCTCTCTCGTGCTCCTCGTCTTCCTGCTCCTCCCCACCTCCTCCACCTCTGCCTCCACCACCTCCTCCTCCTCCTCCTCCTTCAGTCTTCCTGCCCATCCCCTTTCGTCTCCTCCCCCAGCTCTTCCTCCTGGCCCTCCTCCTTTTCCTCCTCCTCCTCCTCCTCCTCCTGTCATTGCTCCTCCTTGTCTCAATGCCCTCATCCCTCCTTCTGTTCGTCAGTTCTCCCTGCCACGCTTGCAACTGCCCCTCCACCTCCTCTCTCGCTTCTGGTCCTCACTATCTTTCTCCTCCTCATCTGATCTGTCCTCCTCATCCTCCTCTCCCTGCCCTCCTGTCTGCCTCCCTCTGCCCGCACATCCTCCTCATCCCTCTGCTGCATTCTTCCCTCCTGGTACGTGGCGGCCGAGGTCTGCTGTAGGACGTGGAACTCCGAGAGCGCGAACATGGCCCCCGGGAAGGATGGCCGACCGAGAGCACGGGGCCAGCGGCCCACAAGAGGCGGGACGGGGGGGGGGACGAAGGGGAGAGGCAGAGGGAGCCGTGGGAGATGGAGGGACAGGTGGGGAGGAGAATGACGTAAGTGGGGAGCGAGAGGAACGGGGCTGTGGAGGGGAGGGATGCAAGAAACCAGGGAAGGCGTAGTTAGGCGAGGATTGAAGTTGGAGAAGAAGGAGAGAGAGGGGAGGGAGGGAGGGAGGAAGGAGAGGGGGGGGAGGGATATGTACCCGCTTGCCCTCCGTACATGTATTATCCCTCCGCCTTATCCTCCACCACGACTCATCCTCTTCCCTCGTCCTCCACCTGCACCGCATCTCCCACACATATCTAAGCCACTGCCCATACGCCGCTCCTCATGCTCCTTCCGTCATGCTCATCCTGCTCATGATAATGCTGATGCTGATGTCGCGTCAACTCCTCCCCCTCCTCTAACTGCAATCTGCAATTCATGGTTTGGGCCGTCATCATTGAGTCGTTTCATCCTTCTCCGTGATCAGACTCGAACTCGTCACTCCTGCTCCAGCCAGGCCACGGACACCAACCTGTTCAAGTATGCGGCGAAAAGCCAGGACGAGGAGAAAACTGGACCGGGATACCGTTGGGGTCTCTGAGATGTGGCCGTTCTGCATGATATATCCAGCGCCGCGGCCGTTCCAGAACGCTCAGGAACGCCCTGAGAGCGTTCTGGAACGCTCCAGAACTAATAGAGGAAGAAACACAAAGCCATAAACATACATGTTTGGCGCTCCGCGCGGATTTCTTGGATCTGCGCTAGACCTCCCCCCCTGGCGCGCGGAGCTCGACAGGGGCAGCGCCAGAGGCGCCGCCGGGGGGGACCAGGCGCGGATCCAAGAAAAATCCGCGCGGAGCGCCAAAAGTTTATGCTTATGGCGTTTTTTCTTCGTCGACCTAATTGTCCCGGCCCTGCGCCCGAAACTATCAGCCGGCCAGGCTCGCGAACGCGGCGGCCGCCGGCCACGCGGGGCCGGCGCCGGCGGCCCCGACGAGCAGCTCGGCGCCAGAGCGGCCCGCCACCGCGCCCACAGCTGCGGCAGGCGTGCGTGCGTGTGCAGAGGCCCTCGCGGCCAATAGAGGCCGCCTGGATGGGGTCGGAGTAGGAGGAGGAGTAGGGTGAGGAGGTGGAGGAGGAGGAGATGGAGGAGGAGGAGGAGGAGGAGGAGGAGGAGGAGGAGGAG